TATATATATATGTCCACCAAGATTAGACATGGCTTGGAGGGGAAGAGAGACATTGAACTTGTGTACCAATGTGGGGTGCCCCATGCCACGTGGCAAATGGTCATTGGCTAATCTTGATGCCATGATGAGACAAATTTCATTCATGTGCCTACATCATGTGTTAGCATGAGACACCTTGATTAAACCATGACTTTGAGTTTGGGACAAAGTGGCATAGGTGTGCTTTCTTTGTTTGCCATTTTCTAGGTTGGGTTTAAAAAGAAACGGATACTGATTAGATGTTAACGTCTATACATAAATTCGAACTATAACTTAAATACGGTAAAACTTCATATATATTATTAAATTAAGGGTCGACAAACGTTTGTAGATAAGTAATATTCAATATCAGTAATATTGTACATATAATAAATATCTATTTAAAAGTCGATATAAAAGCTCTAACATCACGTACATTATCATCCACCCATCGTGAGTGGAGGATGGTGACACTTCAATTCACATGATTGAAAGAGAAAGATAGAGAGAGAGAGAGAGAGAGGAGGGGGATATAAATTCGTATAAGCCAATCCATTAAATTAATAAAATGATTAGGCTTTTTTTTATCAAGTAAAATAAGCTTCGACTATATTAGTTTAGTGGGTAAATTGTATGAAAAAATAACGTACTTTAATTTGATTTTCATTTTGATACCTAAGATGTAAAGTTTTAAACATTTAAGTACCCCAGGTAACGGGTTGAAGCAGTAACCGGTTATCATACTGGTGTGGCGAGTGATGTAGTATTCAACTCAGTATTGTTTGCTAACGTGGTTAGTGACATGAATTCTTTTTTTAATCTAAAATTAGTATTTTTTTAATATAAAATTAGTCTTCAACCGATTATCCGGTTACTTAAATGTTTAAAACTTTACATCTTAGGTATCAGAATGAAAGTTTTGAAAGTACGTTACCTAAAATAAGAATCAAGTTAAAGTACGTTATTTTTTCATACAATTTGTCCTAGTTTAATTTGTAGAAATAACAAGATTTGATTTTACTTAAGTTGTAAAATGCTTTTTCAAAAATTTGTTACAGTACTTTAAATCAACTGTGATTGGTACCGATTAAGTTAGTATCAATTTAATTGATACGATTGATATACATGTTGATTGGTTTAGTTTGGTACAAAAATAACACTGCCCTAAAATAGTAGAAAAATTGATCTCCATTGACCAAATGTAAACAAGAAAACATAATTTGATATTGATTTGTACGGAAACATAACCGAAATTAATAAGAGGTTCAGTTATTAATAATAGAAGTTCATTTAGCATAATTCTAAAAAATAATATTGATGAAGTAAATATTCTCAATAATTACTGTTAATTGTGTTTGATATTGTAATTAAAATGATTAATAAATACAAAATTAATATCACTTCAAAATATAAATTCACAAATCTAATATATTTATATATATTATGTTATAAAGTATTTGACAAAAACTTTTAAAAATCATTTTAAGTATAACTTATTAAAGCTTTATGTCTTAATTCGTACGACGGACTGTAGATAAACATAATAAAATACATGATAAATGCTTGGAAAAAGTTCTATTGCTATTTCGCGAGACAATCCACATCAATGTAATGCAAGTGAAGGGTTCGCGGGAACGCCCATGTATTTTATCATTCTGCTTGATGAATTAATTCAAGATATAAGACGGTTGTTGGCATAGAGCTAGCCGATACTTATTCTCATCATTTTGCTCCTCCTTGAAAAACACCTTCCTTTTTTGAACTCATTTTGAATATTTTAAATATAAAAAAATCTAAAATATAATTAGGATAATAATTGAGTTCTAACAGAATACTTAATTATTATCTTTATAAAATGTTATATTATTAAACCAAAAATAAATTGTTTCGTTATTAAACTTAAATTAAATTATAGTAAAAAAAATTAAATTAAAGAAATTACACAAAAAATGATAACTTTTAAATAGTTAATTTAATACTAATATTGATATTATTTTTTCAAATTTTTATGATATTTTCAAATTTTTATTTCATTAAAAAATAAAATCATTATCGTTTTCTTAAAAACGTATAAACTCGTATTATAACATCGACAAAGACAAAAAATAAAATTAAAATTAAAATCGAGATGTATCTCACTGCATTGCACGAATATCCTTCTAGTATAAAATTTATGATTCTCATCCTTGTAGTTTGTTAAAAGTTGTGATTTTTCATCCATGTGATTCAGAAATTGCAGTTCCCGGTCCTACCCTTTTTAATTTATGCTATCTCTGTTCTTATTATTTATAATATATGTTGTTTTGGTCCCTATAGTTTACAATTGTTTACTATTTTGATCCCTTGTTATTAAAGATATGAATTAATTTAAAAATGAAAATAATAATAAATTATAAATATAAAAATTAAAATCACAATTATTAAAAAAATATTTAGTATATTTCAAAAAGTAAATTCAATCAAAAGTACGGATACTTGATATGTAACTTGGTCACGTGTTAGCGTTTAGGTTATGCACGTGCCATAACAACCCACGTACCAAATGCAACTATCAAAACCCAGGACCCAAAAGTGAATTGGGTGATGAGATGAAATCTTCTTTAAAATGTGCTACTTTGACTAATTTGCCCTTTGTTCCACATCAAAAGATGGTTACTAATATAATACTATAAAAGTAATTTTACCTTGTCTTAAACTTTATTATTAAAACCTCCTAATCGATAATTATCAACATAATAATAATAATAATAATAATAATAATAATAATAATAATAATAAACGATACTGGTTTTATGAATACATCTTCTTTTTGTCAACAATATATCAGTATTATTATTTTAGATTTTGTAAAATTGTAGTCATGAAAAAGGATTGCAAATATTTTTTGCTTAAAAGTTAATTCCATAATAGTTAACATAATTAAAGTGTCACCCTAATAATTCACATATTTTGTACTAGGTACTCAGTAATTATGAAAAAGAAAGAAACCCTAGTGAAAAAAACTCTTAAACGGCCCCATATTCTAACTTTACGTTGATACACGCCAAATATATCATTATCATGTATGTTCCGATTGAAAAAGATTAAATCATGACGTATACAATGTTTTTAAGTGTCTTTTCATCTGTATTATGTCTCATATTCACCTTTCTATCCTTTCTTGAAGTTGCTGCTTTGGAAATTTTGTAAGGAGAAAGGGACGCAAACCTCATATCCCGGGGACACAGGAACATGACCGAGATTTCCCATTTTCCATAAAGATGTCATTTAAAAGAACCCATCTAATTTTTTTCGGGAATCAGTAATTTTTGAACTTAAAATATACAATTATGTTAACCGATATATCAGTGTAATAAAAGGTTTTACATTGTGGGTTTTTAACTTTGAAGGAAGTGGACCAAGAAGATCCATATTAATATCCATTGGTGTTATAACTTTAACAAGATTTTGCAATGGAGAATTATTGGCACAATGCATGGCCAACATCCACTTTTGAAAGCTAGTCCTCTATATAATAGAGTGGAGATTTGAAAACATATTTCCAACATTTTGACCCCACAAAACACCTACCACAAACTTATGCCTTTCAAAGCACTAGGAAATAAAGGCTATGATTTGAATGAATTCTTGGTATGTTTTTGGCATATTAACAATTACTAATATGACATTTTTAGGTATTTATTTACATGGTGGGTTTTTAATTTGGATTTTATGGTTATTTATACGAGTACTGACTGATTTTTATGCGGTGGTTATAATAGTTTTAAATTATATATGTTTTAAAAATACCCTAAATTTATATACGGAGCTAATATTTTATATATACATATTCATGTTTGTTCATCAGTACACTGGATGTTTAGTTGAGTAGCAACCATTTATACAATAAATCTTCAAGGGGTTGTTTGTTTATCTCTTAATAGTTCTATTAAGAGACAATCTTTGAATTGTTAAGAGGTGTGAATCTTGTTTGGCAAGAAAAAAGTCTGCCTCTTAATGGTTCCAAAACCCTCTGATAGTACATAATTACCAAACAATTAATCGTTAAGAGGTGAATATTGTATCCTGGATCTCTCTTAACCATTAAGAGCCCTAATTTTATTGTACATAATTACCAAACAATTATATTTCATTTTGCACTATATCATGAAAGTCTCTTAATCATTATGACCACTTAATCATTCTGCGCCAAACTATTCAGCAATTGCCAAACAGCCCTTAAACGTATGTTATTTGAACCCTCTCTGCATTCTATTTTGAACCATTTATTGCCAACTTCATTCACATTTCAATATCAGAACTTACCTTCTACGTTTTTTATGCTATTTTGAATTAACTTACGACAGTCATAATAACACATGATAGCATTGACTTTGAATTTGAAAGAGAAGGTTCGAAAACGTAGGCTCTCAACCTGATGACAACTGGGGAGATGGTGACCGAAGCCATGGTGAACGACGACCATAACTATAACAGTTCTAAGATAATGAAATACCTTGTCGAGCAAGTTCCATCACTTTGAAATTGAAAGAAAATGCTCCAAAACATATTTATTTTGACTTAGGAAACAAAGTACACCATAATACCAAATGTAACACCATTATACATCTATTGGCTATTCATTCTAATTTCAAATTGAACCCCACTATACCTACATTGTCTTCAAAGTACACCCTACTCTACTTACATAGGATGTCTTTTCTCTAACAAAAAACCATCATGCTAACAAAAAACCATCATGCCAACCAAAACCCATCATTGCCCAAGAACTTTTGGATTTTTCTTTGCCACAAAATCTAGTTTTTTGACTTGTACATTGGGCATTAACTACTTGCATCCTTCTTTCATACAAAACACAAATGGAAGACAATCATTACTATAAATAGACATGCCTTCTCTCACTAGATCAACCATCCAACCACCACACCAAATTATTGCATGAAAACCCTCATTCTTATACACCAACATCCAAACCCTTTTTGTGCCTAAAATCTTCTTGTTTTTTACTTCAACCATGGCCAAGACCATTATGCAAGAAAACAAGAAACCGGTGTATCGGAGAAACGGCTCCGGCGAGCTTCATGTCTTTGAGGCCGCTCGTTACTTCGATGACACCACCACCGGCAGCCTCGGTCACAAGCATTATTTGAGAGAGGGTACTGCCGGAAGATTGAGTCTCGATATCCCGGGAAACAATCGAAGAAATTCGATCCCTTTACAAGCCATGATGATGGAGAATCGTAATTCGATTCCTTTACGAGCCATGATGATGGATCAAAACGATCCGATGACGATCAAGAACCAGAAGAAGTACAAGCAACCAAGCTCACCAGGAGGGAAGTTGGCTCATTTCTTGAATTCCCTTTTCAACCAAACGTATTCAAAGAAGTCAAAGTCGAAGTCAACGACATCGAAACAATCTGTGAAGGATGAAGATGAGAGCCCTAGTGGTTGGAGAAGAAAGAGGAGTAGCATTAGTCTTTTCAGGAGTGGAAATAGTCATACCAATAATAACAGTAATTCAGCCATTGCAAGTGACACAAGGTCTGCTTATAACTCAAGAACACCACCTCCAAAGGGTACTGCATCTTATAAAGATCTCCGAAGCCATTCAGATCACAAACCCACTTGTGAAATTACCAAAATACCCATCAACGAAACCCACAACAAGAATGAAAACCAAAACCTGAAGATCAAAAGTAGTAGTGGGGTTTCTGAGAAAAAAAGAAGTTCTGGAAATGGGTTAGTGGAGAAAGTTAGGGTTTCTGATGTAAAACATGATGATGATGATCATCATCAGAAGTATGATCCAACGGTGGAGATTAGAGAATTCAAGAGGTTCATTCTTGATGATGATGATGGAGATAGTGATTCAAGTTCTGATCTTTTTGAGTTAACAAACTGTGATTTGGGTTATTATTCAAGTGGTTTGCCAGTTTTTGAAACCACCCATATGGATAACATCAAGAGGGGTGCACCCATCGTGTCTAGCTAACCCTAAAGGTCACGCATCTCTAGCCATGAACCACGTCGTCCCAAGCTCAAATCTTGATTCCAAACGGCAAATATTGAATCAAGGTCTTCCTGTCTTGCATATTTAAGTTCATATTTAATAGATAGGGTTTTTCTTTAATTTTAACTTCCAATTAAAAGTTGGTTATTGTTGCCTTTTCTTTTAATTATTCATCGGTAATTATTTTGTTTGGATATAAAATCCCAAGGGGAATGTTTTATTTCGCTTCGAAAATTCAAATCCCAATAATTTTCGGATAATGTTATATGTACCATTTTTATGTTTGAATCAAATCAATTTATGTATCAAAAGTGCTTACGGGGTGTTTGGAATTGCTTATAAAATCTGTTTTTTTAACTTATTTCAGTCTGGCTTCGGCGATAAGCTGTTTTCTGGTGTTTGGATAAGGAAAAAAAACTGCTTATACCGGTGCCAAACCGGTAATAAGCTGTTTTTGATAAGTTAATCATTCATGACTTATGAAAAACTGCTTATTACCCGTTTACAACTTTAATCTTGTTTTATTTAACTCCGATTTGATACCACGTAAGTTAATAAACACTTTTACAAAAAAACATAAGTTATTTTATATAAGCAATCCCAAACACCCTCTGAATTTATAAGTAGAAGTGTATTTAGGGGGTGTTTGAGATTGCTTATAAAAATAACTTATTGACTTATTCCGGTGTGACAGCGGTAATAAGCACTTTTGAGTGTTTGGATAAACAACTTATACCGATGCCAAATCGGTAATAAGAAGTTTTTGAAGAAGTTAAATCTTTCTGACTTATAATAAGTTGATAAATGATTTTATAGAAAAATATAAGTTGTTTCAAATAAGCAATCCCAAACACCCCCTTAGTCAACTCCTAACTTTATTGAACCAATAAAAAACACAGTAATTAAATGTTTAATTTAAAACCCACACACATGTGTGTAGACTTGAAATCACGTGAGACAAACATGTTTTTGTGAAACTCGTGAGACCTTTTTTTACACTTGAAACTTCACAGTAAAACGTATAAATGTAACATTCACATTGTTTTTGATGTGAATGTTCGATTTTTTTTTTACTTTCACAACGTTTTGCTGTGAAATTTCAAGTATGAAAAATATGGTATCATGAAAACAGACTGGTCTCACGTGAACCCAACGCTACATGTGTATATATATATCATGTTGAAAAATATTTGTCAGTCAAAGATAAAAACATGTACATTTTAATATATATGTTTGTGTTAAAATAAAAAAGGACAATTTCAATTAAAATAATTGCTTGAAAATATTGATAAGGAAAAACAAAGCTTCAATCAAGGGGGAGATATAAAGTTTTAGGTGATCATTGAAGGTCTTCAAATTTTTGAAAGCAAATATGATATCTTTTGTTTCCTTTTTCATTTCAACTTTACATTTAAAATAATGAACTTGAACTATTGTCCCAATGATTATGGTTCAAATGTATTTTATTTTATTTTTGTTTTAATTATGGTTGTTTTATACAGGTTGTAATGATGTGGAGATAAAAAAATGCAAGATCAAAAGTAACAGGAGGTCTCAGGTTCAAATCAAAGGAGGAATAAAAATCTTCTTGTGGTTACAGAGGTTCAAATGCGGTGACTCCGGACTATCTGCAAGGCAGGTGGTCGCACTGGGATTAATTAGCTCGCATAACGGGTTGGATATCCAGGTTAATTAAAAAAATGCATATGATATTGGAAATTGTTGAGCCGTAACAAGATAAAAATGACAAGACGATGGTGGGATAATAGGTGGGAGCTAATTTGATGGTTTGTGCACCCAACGATTAGTCGCTAGGCTAGCGGATGACACACAAGTTTTTATCGACTTATGTTAAAAAAATATATTTACTTTGGTATATGTTAGAGGTTGTTTGTTTACCTCTTAATATTTCAATTAAGATGCAGTTTCTGAATCATTAAGAGGTGAATCTTGTTTGATAATTTTTTTTTTTGCATCTTAATGGTTCTAAAACCCTTTGAATGATTTTGTATCATGGGTTTCCCTTAAACATTAAGCGTCCTAATTTCATTGTAAACAATTATCAAAAAATTATATTTCATTTTACATTATATCATGAGAGCATCTTAATCATTGTGATCACTTAATCATTCTGCATCAAACCATTCAACAACTGTCAAAAAACCCCTTAGACTCCTATATCGGCTAGATTAAGACTAATTATCTTTAAGGATGGTGATTTGTCCCGACCCGGTAGAGAACCCAGCTCACCGACTCGAACAGGGACGTGGAGTTCCCGCTAAAACGGGTCCCGGTGCCGAGGATACTCGATATACTCAAACTAACATATATTCTTCATGGATTTTGACCAGGACGGGATGCTAATCCCTGTACCCGTCGGGGACCAAGGCCGGGGCCAAGAATTACAAAACTTTCCCCATCCCTGTCCCGTTGCCATGCCTAATTCTCTTCTATATATGTTGGAACCTTTGTTTTTTTCGCAAGGGCTTTTTAGGAAGTATATAATTTGGGGGTTTCACATATTCTCACATGGTATTACAACCAATGTCTACTACTATATATGTTGGAGCCTATAAACATTAGTTATCATAATTGAGACGAAGGATCATCGGAGAATAACACAACCATGGTGATAACACTTATGGTTATTTGGATGAGTTGTGTTTTTAATCTAACTTAATTTTCTTTTAACTTCTTTCGATGCGTTCAATAACATTCATCCTTTCTTTTCAAAGTTGTCTTCACTTTTAATTTTTTAAGTCAAAATTTCACAAACTTTTATCTATGCTATATTATAAATAATTTGACAAAAACTCTTAAAAACTATTTTTTATGCATGAAGTATTGTTTATTCATGCATATTACTTAAAATTCAGGATTACAAGTAAATTGTACGTAAGTACAACTTATTAAAGCTCTATGTTTGAATTCGTGTAACTAACTACGGATAAACATAATCAAATAAATGATAAATATCTCATTTTAAAATATGAAAAATCTAAAATATAATTAGAATAATTATTGAGTTCTAACAGAATACTTAATTATTATTTTTATAAAAAAATAGATTATTAAACCTAAATTAAGTTACTTCATTACGTTAAAATAAATCATAATAAAAATTTTGAATTAAAAGAAATACACAAACAAGAATTTTTAAATAATTAATTTGATACTAATATTGATATATTTTTTGCAAATTTTATATGATATTTTCATATTTATATTTTATTCAAAAATGAAAACATTATCGCTTTCTCAAAAACCACATAAAATCGTATTATATCAGCATGGATAAAAAAATAAAACGAAACATTGAAATCGAAATGTGTCTCGGTGCATTGTACGAGTACCCTTCTAGTATACATATAATTACTTTTATATCCATAAATTTGTTAAACTTTCAGTCATGATGATAAAAATAGATAAATAAAGATAGTTGAATGTATATGAATATTTTGTTCTCACTTTCTCATCATAACTCTTATTTTTACCGGAATTTAAAACTGAGAGTTGATTCTCGTTAATACAGTGTCAATTTCATGACTTCGGGCGCTCAGAAATCAACTTATACCCGGGTTCGATCCTCGGCAGCAGCGTTTTTTTTTTTTTTTTTTTACAATTTACTTGCACTTAGTAGTGGACACGTGTCTTTTTCTCCCAATTTGTAAAAGGGAAATTTATAATTACACAACCCTTTGTCACAAAATAACCATATTTTAGAGGTTTTACCGGAATGACCACACAGATCGCCCCCGGGGGCGATCCGTACACTATGGGGCGATCCCCCCATTAAGTCTTTAATTTTTTTCCCCTCAAAAGTCGAGATTACTGTTCATTCTCGTTGACCGTGTTTGACCTCACCCCCGGGGCGATTCGTACTGTACGGGGGGCGATCCGGGTAAAAAAATAATTTTGATTTTTTTTTTCTAATACCAATTTCACTATAAAATACCAACCTCATACTTCATAATTTTTCACACATTCCCTTCCATTTCTCTTCTCATATATTTTACTCTCACAAACCCTTAACCCATTAAACACAATAAATCATCACAACCTTTGACCCACTAAACACAAACAACCATCACAAAACATGAAATCAGGTCAAAGTGATAATGTTTGTGTGTATCTTCGAAGTGGCGGTTTATTCCAAGATATAAATGGTGTTTTAGAGTACCTTCCGATAACCTCCTCCACATGTGCAATACGTTTGTCTTCGCCAATAACGTATTTTGGGGTCGTCAAACATGTGACGAAAAAGCTAAGTTTACGTGGTCCTTTCAATTTATTTTTTAAAACGAATACGTTATATCAGTTTATGGATGACGATGATGTGGTAATCCTCCACAACGCCATTCGTCAAACTTTACCAGAAATGTTGACACTATATGTTGTCGACAATGGAGGTTATGAAGGAAATCAATCAAATGCAAACCCGGGAGGTCCAAACACTTTTTACACCGGTGCTGTGAGCACACTCTTCCTCGACGTTAGCGTTGCAAACCCATATGGTCCAAGCACACTCTTCCCTACCGCGAAATTTAAAATTAAATACGTAAAAAGATACAGTTTATGTATTTTTCCATTTTTATTAAAAACACCCCTTATTGTTAAATAAAAAACACAAAATGACAAAATAGAGGTCAAATTTTGTCAATCAGATATTATATCTGATTTACGAAACCCAAAACAGATAAAAATAATTTTTGCTTCTCCATAACTGTAAATATTTATTTTTAAACATTTACCCATGAAATTTGGTTCTAAAAAAGTTAAAAAATAAACTTCAATGGCGTATCAGTTTTATTAAAAATACCAAAAAATTAAAAAAAAATACAACAATTATCATTCGGTTATTTTATAACGAAAAATCGTGAAATTTAAAATTAAATACGTAAAAAGACACACTTTATGTATTTTTCCATTTTTATTAAAAACATCCTTTAATTGTTAAATAAAAAACACAAAATGACAAAATAGAGGTCAAATTTCGTTAATCAGATATTATATCTGATTTACGGAACCCAAAACAAATAAAAATAATTTTTGTTTATCCATAATTATAAAGGTTTATTTTTAAACCTTTACCCATGAAATTTGGTTTTAAAAAAGTTAAAAAATAAACTTCAATGGCGTATCAGTTTTATTAAAAAAAAAAAAAAAAAAAACCCAGATCGCCCCGGAGATGAGGTCAAACACGGTCAACGAGATAATGAACAGTAATCTCGACTTTTGAATTTTTTTTTAAAGACTTAATGGGGGG